GTTTACGTGTTATAATTTGCATTCATTCTAGAATGACAAACACATAATTTATGTTTATTTCACAATTTTTTATGGTGATTGCGAGATCGGTCAAACTTACTGAACCTGTATAGAGATTAACTACTGAAAATAACAGATAAAATATAATTTTTTCTTAAGAAATGTTTGATAGCTATCTGGACATTATACATATTTTGCATGTGAAATTTCAAAATTTTCTGATGCATAAAGGTATTTTTAATGTTAAAATGAAAATTACTTTGCATGATAGATAGGCAAGATGCAAAAAGAAAAAAAGGCATGACAGAAACATTGCTTTACAAAACTTAAGACTTAATAAAAAAAATTTAGATATTTTGCATATGAAAGCATTGTAATGTTTACTGATAAACTGCCAAATTTCATTGACAATCGCTTTCTAATTTAAATGTTATAGCATGAAAACTATAGCAAGCACAAAGTGGTTACAAGGTCGGTCCCAGGGACTGAGACCAGGTTGAAAAGTTTTAAAATATTTTTACCAGATCTCTAGCTCACTTTATTTTCAGGCTGAGGGGGCTGGATAAACAAGAACATCACTGAGCTTATGTTACGGTTAAAAGGCCCTTCATATTTTCAGTTGTCAGCATCTCTTACAAATCTGTATATTATGTGAAAAAATAATGGTATAAATGAAACAAACAAAATTACATCTATTTTTTTTAATTTCCAATTTGATTGTTTAACACATCAAATTCCCCAAATCAAAAGGAACTAGACTCATTTTATAAGAGGTAGGAAAATCTCTGGGTTTGATTGCAAAAAAAAAAAACAAGTAGTCAGAGATCATGAAAACTGTTTTGCTCTATCAAATGATGATAAAATTGTAGTTTCTGCTAGAATTAGGTAGGCATTAGATCTGTTGAAGACAGATTATGATGAATGAAAATTAGAAATCTCAGTTTTGGCTTTTTGACTTTGAAATGCTCTGGATAGCTGAAAATCCAGATGCCTTTTGTATTGCTTTAATATGGGCATCCATGTCATCCATACATAGAGAATGTGAGTGCACTCTCCAATTACTTGAATAAGTAGAATATTATAATATAGTAATAATCAGAAACCATAATTTAACTGGTTGATTATTTTTGTGAGTCATGACATTAATTGATTAAGCTGAACAGGCCTGAATTTAACAAAAATAATAATGAAAAATCATGATGGCAGTATTTCGATTATTGAATAATCGAAAACAATACCTGGAAACACTAATTTGGATCACCTGATTATTTTTGTGGCATTAATTGATTTAATCATAATTTCATGTACTGAACAGTTGGAATGCTCTGAGGTAATAGATTATATCAATTCATGGAGTTAATGACCAAGCTCTATTTGTTGGCTTGGTGATGTATGTTTAGCAGTCAATGAAGTACAAGTTGACTTGTTGTCCTAATGACAAGTTCAGATAATATGTTCAACAAAAAGCATTTGGTTTTTGTTACATGCTAAAGGAGGTTTTATCTCTGACCAAAGTCAACTATTTGGGAGAAAAGATGCAAGATTTTTATCTTGTTGTTATCAAATTGACATTAGGAAAAATTGAAGTATACACAGAGCACTGTAAATGGTGGAAAATTTGTTAATGCTCTGTAGTATTTTCGTATGGTGTTTCTCACACCTCCAAATTCTGTTGGAGGCGAGTATCTGGGAGTAGGACTGATCCTAGTTCGGACACCGGGCGAGCATTTTTCGGTGTGATGGGGATTCAAACCCGCTACCCGCTACCCGCAGATTGCGAGTCGAGTGGCTTAACCACCTGGCCATGTTGGGCCTCTCTGTCTAGTAATGAGTGGTGATTTAGAATTTCTTTTAATTACTTTTTACAGTCTTTTTTTGCCTGTTTGTTTTATAGTTCATGATATAAAGACAATAACATATTAGCATAATAATGCACAAAAGATAAAATCAACAAAACATTAAAAAAATACTACTTTTGTCTGACCATACTTGTCATTCTGACTAAACTATGGAAACTTAATTTCTTGTCAGTTTCAGAAGGACATAAGCCAAAAGCTTATGTAGTAACCACCTACTTTAAAACACAATGAGAATCATGGGCTCACTGAAAAGAAATCATTAGTTTTTGTCTCTGGAAAATTTTCATAATTAAAAGACATTGATTGAATAACTTTAATAGACAAAACTACACATACATGCCTTTGTAAAATATTAAACCTATACAAGCATTGCATACATGCTTGCTATATACCTGAGCTGATCAGCAGTACTTTTAAGCAAGATAACAGTTACTTACCTCAATGAGATTTTGTAGTTCTAATTATTTAATAAGTATAGAAAAGGTTGAACAATTAATACTTTAACACTTTACAGATTATCCGTTTTATTTCACAAAAACTAACAATATTTCAAAAAATACACAAGCTAGTTTATTACTATCATTTCTGTTATGCAAAAATAAAACTATAAATTTATCTCTTATTATGCAAAATCCAAAAACAAAAGCAATGAAGTTAAAAGCACATTACATACTACATGATCTCTAGCCTAATTATGCAAAACTAAGCCAACACTGATCAATCTTTCTTTCAAACTTCCAAATCTTTTGAAAATATTATATCATATTGTAAGTTAATAATAATAAGCAAAATACCTTTTTAAATGACATCATATTGGTTTTTATATTTAAACACTACAAAAATGTATATCAATAAATGCCAAAGAACTACTTTTAATTTAAAGCACAAAACAGTTTACTTTTTTAATTAATGAAAGCTTGAATATATTACAATCATATGAAAGTTATGTAAATTATAACTAGAAAACAAGATAATATCAATATTATATATATATATATATATATATATATACACACACACAAAAATTGGTTTTATCTAGTAATAGAAATAATGATCAACGACTGAAAATTTTTGTCATATTGATTACTTTCAAAACCATAAATCAATCTACTGATAAAATTTATTCCAAGCTAAAGATACTAATACTCATAGCCTGAACTGTGGAATAAATATTGGATATGGCTAATGAATATAACTTCCTGTTTTCACCAAATATTACTATTATTAGGAGGATCTGATGTTTTTTAAATAATGAAAATAAAAAATAATTCACACCCCATTGGATTCCACAGTCATAAGTTAGTGGATTTACACTGCAAGGTCAGTTATGCAGTTCATAATTAGGGAAATATCACTAAAAAATCATACCTGTAAATCGACCTTTCGCTGCATGCTACCTACCCATTGGAACGATGTTAACAAAATATAAGTGATTTATAGCTTTACCTGGTAAGCTGATACTGCATGACACCCGTGTCAAGGCAAAATAAAATGTAGTCCCAATAAAGTCCATCAGTTTTAAACTCATGCATGTGTATTCATATTATATGGATAAATGAAATTGGTCAATAACCAAATGTTAATAATGAAGTATGAGCTTACCTATGTTCCTATGAAAGAATAGGTGAGATTTTGTAATCACAATGGTTGTAAACTTGAAATCCGATGATTGACAGATACATAACAGTAGTAACATTAACCCATTCTACATCATGCCATGATGTAATTGATATATCTTTCATACCACTTTTACCATAGACTATTGTAGCACACATTCTTTCGCTGTAGCCACACCTAACGATATGACATTAGCAAACTGTCGTCAAGTCAACCTATTGTCTATTTACACCCAATGACATTACATAAAGCAAGCTGTTTCCATGACAACACTCAGGCTACTTACAATCCCCCATTCATCATTTTTTGACATACTATCAGTTTGAAATGGGCAGGCATATCTATGTATTGGTTTATGCAATACATAATCCGCAACACAAAGTTTATTGTCTGGCCTTGTTTCTAAAAATTAAATGGCTAAAAAGAATTTTAAATGGTTTTAAAGTTTTGTTTGTGTTTTTAAATATTAAGTGCCTCTGGATCCAACGAAACCAACCAGACCAAAGTACAGCATGAAGAGAGCTATTGTTTTATGTGTGACTGATCCTTATTGGTCCAGTGAATCGAACCAACTTGTTGGTTTCAGTTTTAACATTCATTCACTGATGGATGACAATTGGCGGACAATGGGTTTAGCAATCATCACAATGTTTTTAAAGATGATTTACAACAAGTGAGAGTACAGTTGTTATGAAATAAATCATACAAATTCAGCATATGTTAGTGCTGTAGACATTTCAATTTGTTCTTTGGTGTACAATAATTACTATTTTGTTTATGTGAGATTTATATATTCGCAACTGAGAGTTTGCATTGACATGCTTCCGTGACCATGAACTATAATTCTCTGGGACCCCTTACTATTATTAAGCCGTCTTCCCCTCACAGTTTTAGACTTCAAGGCTATTGCATTAAAAAAGTATTCATTAAACCACAATCTGTACAAAAAGTACCATACCATTACCAATGCAGGTTGCTCTAAATTATCATAATTGTTATTAATGTTAATATTAGCTAAATTTCCTATCAACAGAAAAGCTTAGAACTAGAAGATTTCCAAATCTAGTCAACTTGAATAATTATAAATATTTTCTTCTTTTATTTAAAATCACAAGTTATTACTCAATATTAGTACTAAAAATTAGTAAACTAGTATATAAATACTGGTGTTATCAATGGAATTAGACAAAAATATTGAAAAATATGGCGACCAATATACGCTTCTAAGTCTACACTTCAAGTTCAATCTATTTTCGATGCACGATTGGGATAGTACTAGTAGTAATATAATATAAAATAAACCAAACATATCCCCCAGTTAGGCCTAGCAAATCCATATACTTGGAGGTGAATCTGCAACACTACATGATTTAGCCAACTTTCATTTCAAGTAACAACAACATGGACCCTTACGTCTTACGTTAGCACATAGTACTGCTAAGCCTAAAAAATCAGTACTTAAAATTCTAATCAAAATATAAGATAATGGTTTAAAACATATATATGGATGAAAATAAGCATCTTAAAGTTACCTGAAGATGATGATCTTCGTGACTTTTGGAAAACTTGGTTTTAAATTTGTACAGCTGCGTGAATTGATCCTCACGAGTCACGGTCAATACCACTATCTCAAGCACTACCAGTACACCCGGCTGCATGCTAGCACAGTAGCGCTACCTATATACGGCATTATTTAGACTCTAAATTGTTTATATGTGTGTATTTGTTGAATTTCATACAAAGTTACTAGAGGGCTATCTGCGCTAACCGTCCCTAATTTAGAAGTTATAGGATGGAGCCTAGGATTGACAGCTAGTCAACATCACACCCGCCAGTTCTGGGGCTATTCTTTTACCAAATAAAAGCTAGATTGACCGTCACATTATAGCGCCCCACTGCTGAAAGAGTATGAGCATGTTCGGTGACGGGGTTCGAACTCACGACCAGCTAAAATACTTTTTAATTCACAAAAGGAGTTGTACATTTTCAAGTGAAAGTTTAACTCCATGGTTCTTATTTTAATCAGATGATCAGAAATCTTTCCTAAAGTCATTTTAAATATCCCTAAAGTTACTGTTCACGCTGTTGTCATGATGTGGGTTTTTGTTAAGACTATTAGTTTGCATGTTCTTATCAATTGTTTAGAGGCTGAGAGAACCAACATATCCAATTCAATTACACAAATTTAATTATTTTTCTCTTGAATTTTTAGAAATACTTCATAAACTTTCGTTTTCTTTGTAGCAAAACTAGCGAAATTTATCTTGATTGGTTAATTAACAGCATATTTATGTCCTTAACAAATGTCATTTACAATTAGAAAGAAGGTTACGGTTCATGGTACAATACTCATATGAAATGAAATAAAAATGTAATAAAAGAAATTATTGAGACTCATTGGATTCTTACACCACTTAGCACTACAACAACCAACAACAACGCATTCCTAAAGAAGACGAAGAAAAGCAATAATTGTTACAAATTATAATCTTAGTGCCATGGTTGATTACAAACTTTTCAAACCGCAGTTTAAAAACACAAACGTCTCGGTAGTCAGCACAATAAGTTTAGATACTATAACGCTGCCATCTTCAAGCAGTTTCGTGAACTAAAATAAAGCAATTGCCGATATATATTTGCGGAAAACGGTTGTAGTCCTGATTTATACATAAAAGATCTTGCATGGCCTGATTGTTGGGGTCCTCTACTCACAATCTATGAATCGCGAATTTGAATCCCGTTTCACCGAACATGTTAAATCCTTTCATCCGTTGGGGTATTATAAAGTGACAATCAATCCCACTATTCATTGGTAAAGAATAGCCTTTTAAATTAGGAATGACTAGTGCAGATACCCATTAATACTGATCGTTCCTTTTTTAGGCAAGCAAAGTTTCATAGTGAAGTCACAAGTTCAACTACAAATGAGGCCCGGCATAGCCAGGTGTTTAGGGAGCTCGACTCGCAATCTGCAGGTCGCGGGTTCGAATCCCCGGTCCACCAAACATGCTCGCCCATTCAGCTGTGGGGGCGTTATAATGTGACGGTCAATCCCACTATTCGTTGGTAAAAGAGTAGCCCAAGAATTGGCGGTGATGACTAGCTGCCTTCCCTCTAGTCTTACACTGCTAAATTAGGGACGGCTAGCGCAGATAGCCCTCGTGTAGCTTTGCACAAAAATTAAAAAACAAACAAACTACAAATGATATTTAATTAAAATCACCTTTCAAATACACGTTCGGTGGCTGTAATGCCACATACATTGGCAAAACTATACGCCAATTACACCTGCGAGCCTGCGAACATATGGAAGTATCAAGTAGAACTAGTAAAAATCTATCAAAATCCACTAGACTCCACAATTCGCAAACGTAGTGAAAACAACAACCACCCCGTCTTGTTTACGAACTTCAATGTCATCTCATCTGGATCATCCAATATTGAACCTTTAATTAAAGAAAGTTTATCTATCATAAATGAACTCCCAAATTAACATAATAACACAGCTTCACTATAATTAAGTCAGAGAGAGAGTACATAGTTGCCAACGTAAATGAGGTAGTTAGCTGAAGTTGTGCAAGCAATCTTGGCTCAGCATAGCAGCAGAAGCTCAGTGAATTGCTATTTGAATTTACCAATGTATTTGTGGGACCACTTGGCCAATTTGGGTTGAACAATAAAACAATGTTTTGCCGCTATAAACATAACATCATCGGATATATTATATAATACAATCCAATATTTAAATACACATGACACTGATATAATGAGCAAAACTTGACCTTAAAATAAATATAAACCTACTTCTTGTATTCTATTTATTATAAGACTTTTTTGTTTTATTATGATAGCTTCTTTTAATTTACTTTTGTTAACATTAGTTACGCAGCAAAAATTCGTTACAGTTTTATTTTCATCACAATATTATGTATCTTTAAAATGTTGGTAGATATGTAATGGAGCATGTTCTGCTGTTTGTTTGTTTTTTAATTATGCACAAAGCTACACAAGGGCTATCTGTGCTCTGCCCACCACGGGTATCGAAACCCGATTCCTAGAGTTGTAAGTCCGCAGACATGCCGCTGTGGGCGTTCTGGTGTTGTTGAACTTAAATTCCATTTAGTCACTCCTATATAAAGCATATTAAAACCTATACATTCTACACTATAAACTACCTTTTTATCAATTACAGATAATTTAATTGTGTTATTTAGAAATGAATTAAGTTTCCTGGTAAAAAAAATAAATCGACCCATTTTTTATATGTCTTGCCATATTCTTTGTATCGTAGCTGATAAGCCAGGTACATAGGGAATGACACAGAAAAGCAAATTATCTGAATGCATTTTCCTTTCTATTTTGAAACCGTTTTAGTAATATAAAATTTTTACCAATAATAATAAGATAATCATTCCTATTTTACTAAAACAGTTCCGAATTAATTTATTTCCTCATATAACCCTTCCTTTGAACTACAAATAGCTTTAACCATAGCCAACAGAGCTTTTATAATCAGAGTGAGGAAACAAGTATGGTCAATCTATTAACGCATATTCTAGCTATTATTTCTATAAACATACTTGATTACAAAATCAAATATATGGTTAATCTAGGACTGTGTTGTTGTTTTTTTGTCATGTATATTAACGATACGTTTGCTGGCTTTGTTTTTGGACAAATGGTTGAACAGTTTTAACATTTTTAAATTCATTACATTATAATATTAAGTTTAGTTATCAGAATGAGAAGGGCAAGTACCTTTTCTTTACGTCATGGTCAGAAACGTTAATAATGTTTTTAAAACAAAAGTATTGTTGTAATATATTCTTTCATTGGACATGTTTCTTGATACATTCTGTTGTCATTTGTACACAGCTGTAGGCCTAACTTCACAAATAATGTTTTCACTCGCAACAGAAATGTACTTGCTAATAGTATTATTCACTGTTACAGCTAATGTACAAACAAACTTACTTGTAATTTCATAGCTAATTGATCGAGTAACTGAATATACACAATAATTAAGAATGAATGGTTCACTAACTTATTTACCACTAACAAATAGAAACTAACTCAATGATTCACTGATTCTCAAATTCATAAAGTATCATTGTTTCTATATATTTCACAAAATCTCTTGATCGTCAACATTTATTAATATTCTCGGTATTCTAGGACTACTTTTATAAATTTAGCATCATCATTATGTTAGCAATTCCCTCAAGCGAATAACTAAATTAAACCATTCAAAATATAGTTTACAACACTGTCCCTTCCTGAAATGCGGAGTCCTTTGAACAGACCTAATACAGTAAACAAAATGCTACACTAAACTGTCCATTCGCCAAATGTTTTTGGTGGTTTTCTTTTCCAAAGCCATGATATGCAGATAGGATGATATCTTATCCCGTATCATCACTGGCTGTTCTGTCACTGGGAAGGTCTTCATTAGAGCAAAGCCACAATGGCTCTATCTTTGTTGAATCTCTAAAAGTGGACTCGATAGGAACCCTAGGCTTCGCAGCAGGTTGATGCTCGCTTACAAATTATTCTTTGGAGTAACCCATTTGGCTGCTCTCTCACTGACAAATTTCTAAAGACGATCATTGTGGATGGCCATTGGCTTAGATTGCCTGTCCCTCTGGTTTCTATAAACTACACCATTGATTCTTTATAGTACAACACATGGCCTTTCCCAAAAACTCCATAATTTTGAATTTCATTCATTTTTTTGCAATGGAGATTGTACAATCGTATCATACCACCTTGATGGAATCCACTCTTTTCAGCATTAACATAATAGCAACTTGTATGACCTTAATGGTGTTTCTTAGTCGCTCTGCATATTTGTTGTAAGACTCTGCTGAATAAATTTCCTTTGGATGCAAGTATAGAAAATCCAATTGCACCTTAAGTAAGTTCTTTCCCAAATATCAGTGATGATTGTATATTTCACGTAGCTTCAAGTACTGCTGTTTAATAACTCATAACTGTGGAATACCTTGATCCCACCTTTTCTGTTGTTCAATCACATAAATGGCTAATTGATTTAACATTATACAGTTGTGTCTCTCCACCAGAAGATGGATAAAGAGCTGTTGATCTGTTCTTTTTTATGACAAGGGTCTGGCGTCTGAGAAATTTCTGCAAACAAGGCTAGTTCTATGTTTAGTCACTGATCTGTGTGAAGTTTCATAGGCATGTCAAATCTTGAAATTAATACATTGGCAAGTTTCTTTGTTAGAGCATCCGCTTCCCGGTTACGAACAGCATATGGTTCTGGCTATTTGTTGAAACAGTCCACCACATCCATGATGTATTTATTCACATAGTTACTCTGTGATAGTGGACCAAGCACATCAACAGCAACCTCTCAAGTGGTGCTCCAACACAATACTGCTTACCCGTGTTGCTTCTTTCATGGGCCTTTTTTCTCACAGTATAGTTCACAAATTTCACACCAATTCTCTGGAACCTAACCCAGTAGAAACATTCTCTTATTTGCTCCTGTGTCTCCTTAAAACCTAAGTATTCAGCCATTGAATGGAGTTATTTTAAATATATACTGTGGAAATACCAACTGTAGTTCATTGTTTTTGTCCTCTAATGTTTTCCCATGTTCAGCATAACAAGCACTTTTGTAAGCATGA